GGGGGCGCGGGGGGCGCGGGGGGCGCGGCGCGGTCTGACTTATTGGCTTATCGCTTCATGACGCGCTCCCAGAAATGGGTCGGCGCGGACTTCTTATTTATTCCGCCACGGTTCACAGACGTCGTAGTATGGTACATCGCGGTTAACGACATGCGTTCCTGATGAGGGCCTTACTTTATCGCTCGCGATGATGATGGCGGTTGTGGTGGTGGTGTGCTGGTGTTTGGTCATTATCTTCACGTAATTCACCCATCAATGCGTCCAGAACAGCCTCCTATCGCGTGGATATACACAATTCTCGACGACCTCTTCTTAACTCAACTTTACCTTAACTATCTATGACCCCATGTCTTGCTTATGAAGACTGTAAGTCCTGGAGTGGGCCGTAAAATATGTTTTTAGTAATCCTAGTCATTTGTGGCCAGGTGGGCCAGGTTACCTCCAGTCAAACGAAGGAAGGGATTTCCCCTCGTATATTCCCTCGATTCCCTTACACGTCAGAACTCTTTAATAATCGTCTAGAACTTTCCGAAAATGTTGACACTTGTTTATGATCTTTCGTGTGTAATTTCGGACCCAATGTCTGTCTGACAAATTTTGTCCGTTCGTGAAACATGGCTTTTGCATCAGTGACTTTTGACCCAAATGGAGAAAACATCGGAGCTATTTTACAAACATCTCAAAATAAAAATGAGTTGTTTTAAGAATGACAGGTCGAAGCAGACGCAGGGGGTCCTCCTCCTTCTTTGAGTAGTAACACGTGGTCGACAGCGCCTTGTGGCCTTTCCTCTGGCTCGTTCGTTCGTTAGTTCGTTTGTCCGCTCGTCGTTGACAGTTTAGCGGCGATGCCTGGCGCCCGGCCGCGGCCCTCCCCTATTGTTTAGTAACCGCTCATTATCCTGTTCGCCGTGTACGTGTTGCACCATCAACACCCACTCCGTCAGCGCCTTCAGCCGGCCCCTCCTGCCCTGCCCTGCCCTTCCGGTCCTGGGAACGAACGGGAAACATGTAGAAAATAGAATTAACAAAAAAACACAAAAAAACACGAGACGCCGCACTGATAGATAAAATTCTCTCGTCGTCTGCCAGATTGACTGTGAAATGATGTTAATCGGTGCTGCTGATGAAAAGTCTTTCTCCCTTGTGACCCCCAGCCCCCTGCTCCTGGCCGTGGCGTGGCTTGGCGTGGCTTATCTCTTCCTGATCGCTGGTAATCGCAGGCGATAAGGGCCGTCGTAGTGCCTCCAGGCGGGGCAGGTGAGGTGGACGCCGTCCCGCGC